TGGGCCACCGTGACCTGCAAATTTCCCTCTGAGCCACTCACTATCTTTACTTGAAATATATCACTGCTCCATCAGTTTCATTGGGTCAAAATCGTGAAAGTGTGTTGTGGGTCAACCTAACACCAAAGACTACAGTGGTTCCAGAAGGTAATCACCACCTTCTCATAGGCAATTGGAGAATAAATGCTGGCCCTGCCACGGACAACCACATCTCATGAGTACAGGTGTTAATTGAATACTGTGCAATGTGGGTAACTCTGTCGATATGATGTACACTGGCTTTTGATACAATGTCACACAAAGGTGTCGGGCAAAGTTATGGGTGATGGAATAAAAGGGTTAGTGCCAACATGATACACAATTGACTGATTGACAGAAAACACAGAGTAATGGTCAATGGGTTTTTTTCAGGGTGGGGATGGTGAGGGACTCTTGCTTTTCCTGATAACACATTAATGATCTAAATCTTGGTGTGCAGGGGACATTGTAAAAGTTTGTTGATGACACAAAACTTGAAAGGACTGTAAACTGTGAGGAGGTTAGTGTAGAGCTCCAGAAGAGAATCAACAAGATGGAGTGGGCAGGTAGGTGGCAGAAGATTTACAATGCAGATAAGTGTGAGGTGAAGTACTTTGGTAGGAAGAACACTGAAAGACAGTGTAAAATAGGGGATGCAATTCTATGGCAGGTGCAGCAGCAAAGGGACCTGGTACATAATGTGCACAGATCATTAAAAACAGCATACGAATGTTCGAACAAGAGTAGGCCACTTGGCTCTTCGAGCTTGCTCTGCCACTCAATAAGGGCATGGCTGATCTGATTTTAAACTCATTGGTGCATTCCTAGATCATCTTTCATTCCCTTAGTAATCAAGAATCGATCTACCTCTGCCTTCAAACTATATAAAGATTCTGCATCCACTGGCTCTTGAAGAAGGGGATTCCAAAGACTCTCAACCCTTGGAGAGAAAGAAGTATTTCCTCATCTCTGTTTTAAATGGATGACCTATAAGTTAACTATGATTCTGATTTCAGTTCTACACACCAGGACAGGTAAACGGAGCAGTAAGTAAAGCACACAGTATCCATGACTTTATTAACTGGGATATAAAATACAAGTGCAAGGAGGTGATGTTGACCCTATTTAAGAAACTTGTTAGATTTCAGCTGGAAGACTGTGTAGTGTTCTGAGCGCCACATTATAGAAAGGATGTTGAACACTCGGGGAGAACGTGAAAGTAGTTTATAAGAATGGTTCCAGGGATGTGCTGTGTACAGGTGGAATAGAGTTTTCAATTGCGTTAAAGTGTTACAGGGCAATACTAAGTAGTGTTTTGTTGATGGAGAATTTTACTTGTTAAAGTAAAATCTTGTATGATTCTTTGCATAGGTCTCTGGGAAATTCATTTCTTTTTAGGAATGATCAGACTCTACAAGGATCGAAACAATATCAAAAAACAAATTACAAAACATTTGTGACTACTTGATTTTGTAAGCCAGGGAGTAGTCAGATTTTTGAAAACTTGATCAATTTTTATTAATTTTCTAAACTGACTTCAGTAGTCATCTTCACTCCCAACTCCTCTGGGATTTGAGCATATAATCCTGATACTTTAGTGCAGTACTTGAGTATGCTCATTGTCATGTGTTGTTTTTCAGCTGAGATATTGAACCAAGGTCCCACTTCACTCCGTAGTAAAAGATCCTATGGAGACTTTCAAAGAAGAGTTTTTTTCTGGCATTCAATTCCAAGATACGTGAGATGTTTCTATGTGGATATTGGATACTGTGCTACCTACGTAACAGTAGTGAGTACATGAATAGTAATTTGTTGGCTGTGGAGTGCTATGGCATGAATTATGAGAATAAAAAGCACTATGTAAATGCAAATGCACTTTCCAGTGCCCTATACAAAGAATCGCACAAGGTTTTACTGCGTCAAATGAAAATCTACATCAACAAGACACTTGTTCTAAGGAAGAGTCACTGGGCCCCAAACATTAAATCTGTTTTTTCCTTCACGGATGCTGAGCTTTTCCAGCAACTTTGTTTTTGTTCAACGAGACACTACTTAGTAGGCAATTAATGCATTAAAGTGCAGACAAGGTATTCCCCAGTGACATCTAACACAATTGAAAACTTCATTCCACATTTATACACCACATTCTCATCTGATAAACAACCCAAAAAATGCCAGAAGTCCAAAAATGCCTTCCAGTGGTTCAGTAAGGGAAAGTACAAACAAGATGGTTTGGCTGGGGGGGCGGTGGGGTGGAGGTGCACATGGTCAAGAGAGGCTGGGTGGTGACCCACAGCCAAGATGATCAGAGTTAGCCATTCCCTGAGGAGGGTGTCAAACCAATTAGGAGAACAAGATTAAGGTCAAATGAACAGAATTCAGTTCTACGAAACTGCAACATTTTTAAATATATATATCACAAACAACTGTACTGTATAAACTACTAACCACCAACAGTAATTACCTGTGTGGCCACTTAAATATTCACAAGCAAAGCCCATTATGGGCAATGCAAACCATCAAAAGGGGAGAAGCGTAGAGAGAGAGCAGGATGGGGGCTAAATTAAAATGGAGTTGGCAGGGAAATAAAGCACTGTATCCACCTCTCTTTAAAGGATTCAGCAAGCACTAGATTTGCAATGTACAGCATGTGATGATGGAATGCAAATAAGAGATCAGCTTTCAAAGAGGTGTAGGACAGGTAAGCAGGTAGTGACAAATGACATTCAGTAAGATTCAGCAGAGATGGTTGAGGGGAGATCTAATTGAAGTGCAAAAAATTATGGGGGGGTTGAAATAGACTAAATAGCAATGGCATCACTCTTTTAAAAAAAAGATATGAATGCACTTGGGGAGGGAGGGTGCAAAGAATATTCACCAGGACGCTGCCCAGGATGGAATATTTTAGCTCTGAAAAGAGGGTGGAAGGGCTGTGGCTATTTTCTTTAGAGCAGAGAAAGCTGGGGTTGGTGGGGGAGCCTGATTGACATCTATAAGATTGAGAGGTATGAATAGGGTGGATAGAAAGTAGTTGAAGGATCAATAATGAGAGGGCATAATTTTAAGGTGAAAAGCAGGAGCCTTAGAAGGGATTTGAGGAGAACATTTTTTCACCCAGCAAGTGGTGGGAATCTGGAATGCACTGCCTGCCAAGGCAGTTTAGGTAGGAAACCTCCTCAACCTTTAAAAACGTTCTTGGATGAGCTTTTGAAATGTCACAACAGGCTAAGTGCTGGAAAGTGGGTTTAGTGTAGATAGGTAGGACTTTGGGCCAAAGACCCTCTTCTGTGGAGTATGATCCTATGATGTTTTTTCCTTAGCAACAGTAGGGCAGAACAGCACGGTGACTCAGTGGTTAACACTACTGCCTCACAGTGCCCTACCGATCTACGTTTGATTCCAGCCTCGGGTGACTGTGTGAAGTTTGTACATTCTCCGTGTTCATGTGGGTCCCCTCCGAGTGCTCCAGTTTCCTCCCATAGTCCAAATACGTGCAGGCCAAGTGGATTAGCCGTGGGAACTGCAGGGTTACAGGGATAGCGGGGAGGGGTCTGGGAGGGTTGGTGTGAACAAGGTCGGCCAGATGGCCTGCCTGTCAATAACCAAAAGCCACAGATTTAAAGGAAATGGGGGGGTTATGAAAAGTTAACTGTTTTCTCCCCACAGATACTGCGAGACCTAGTAGGAAGTGCAGATGCTGGAAAATCTGAGATAACAAGGTGTGAAGCTGGACGAACACAGCAGGCCAAGCAGCATCAGAGGAGCAGGAGTTTCTGCAGCGCTTTCTGTATTTGTTTCAGACCGCCAACGGCCGCAGTTCCTTGTTATGTTTTGTTTTGAGTTGAGGAGCATGTTTGTTCATCTCGAAAGAGTGGTGGGGAGTCTGGAGCCCACCGCCTGAAGGGGTGATAGGGACAGAAACAGTCCCTTGGCTGTGGAGCTGAAGTGTGACCCACATGAACCCATGTGATCGGATTGTGGTGATCACGTCCGGATGGGCTGAATGGTCTCCTGTACCTGTTGAGTGTGGCTGGGTTTCAATGAAGGGGCTGTTTTGGATCAATCCTCCCTCCTCAGTGACAATTCCAGGGGGACAGGGAGAGGCCCCGGTTCCCAGCTCTGATTCCCACCCCCACATTCTACTTCTTCTCCTCCTCACTCACCGGGACCCGGTGCCCACCAAGTAGGTGTTGGTTCCCTGAAGAGTCATCGGGCCCGGGTTACAGCCCAACACCCGCACCACCCGGGCCGACAGGTGCTGCACCTTCGGCAGCGACACCGCCATCCTGCCGCCTACCCGCCGCACCGACCACAGTGCGCACGCGCGCCCCCGGCTCGCGCTCAACTCCGCCCCCGCCGGCCACAGTGCGCACGCGCTGCCGCAGGGCTCCACTCCGCGGATAGGCCGGGGTTATGACAAGAAGGAGCAGAAACGTCACGTCACGTCACGCAGCAGGCCATGTCACAAGGTGATCACAACAACCGGACTCCAGCAGAGACCCTGAGCCCGACTGTGGTCGGTGACGGAGGGCAACGGTGTTTCTGTGTCTTAAGAATGGTCAGGGGATTTCTCTGGGTCTGACAACAGTGGCTGGGGTCCTGTGGGTTTGACAGCGGTCAGGAATTCTCTGGGACTGAGCACTCTAGAGGGGAGGTAGTGGGTTTGACAACAGTTGGGGACAGGGGTGTTGGGACTCTGGGACAGACAGTGGTCAGAGGGTTCTGTGGGAATGACAGTGCTGTTGGAGGCGAGTGCTGTGTGCTCCTAGTGGTCGGCGGGGGGGTATCAGAAGTTGAAAGTGGTCGGGGGCTCTGGGTTTAGGTGGTTGAGATAAGAGTACTCTCGGTCTGACAGTTGTGATGGTGGTGGGTTTGGAACTGACTGGATGAACTGGGTCTAACAGTAAATGGGGAAAGGTCCAGGAGCAAGAACCACAGTAGAAGACCAGGGTGCCTGCATAAAAGGTTGGAAGTGACAAAGTGGATGATTTTTAAATAGAAGACCTTTAGTTTGATACAATGCAACAAAGAAAGGGGGTATCTTTTAAATAGAAAATAGTTTTGACCTACACTAGGGATAGTGTCCAACTCTGGGCACTAGTTTCATGTAAAGGATTAATGGTGGATGGAGAAAAGGTTTAGAAAGACTTGTTCCAATGATGAGGATCTTCAGTTGCCTGGATAGACTGATAAAGCTGGAGCTGTTCTCCTTAGAGAAGCTTTAGAGAAGACTTGATATAGATGTTCAAAAGGACAGAATAAATTGGGAGTAACTGTTCCCATTGGTAGAAGATCAGGAACCAGAGGATACCAATTTAAGATGAACGGCAAAAGAAACAAAGGTGACATGAGGGAAACACTTTTTAAACAGTGAGTGGTTAAGTTCGGGAATGCACAGTCTGACAGTGTGGTGAAGGCAGATACAATCGTGGCTTTCAAATGGGAATTCAATCTGAAGACAGGAAAATTGCAGGCCTGTGGGTTTAGGGCAAGGGAGTGGGATATTCTTGCAGACAGCCAGCATGGAAACTATGGGCTGAATCACCTCCTTCTGCAGTGTTACCACTCTTTATTCTATTTCCCACAGTCTTTGCACACAGTCTTGGGATGGTGAATGAATGGGCGGTAAATTGTCTGTTTGACAATATAAAATGCAATATAGTGAATATGATTTGGTTTACACTCGCACAAGGTCAACATTACCCCAAATCAATGTCCCTAACACATATCTACAAAAATATATTTTTATGAAAACAATTTTGCTCAGTTTAAATACAATAAGTTGAATCTTTGCTTGGAATAAAAATGAATTGCTATTTCAAGAATTCCAGTGATTTTTGGATTGCTTTATTTAATATCACATATTGTTGCAGGAAGGTACACTACTAATCAAAAAACAAAGACTTGCCAATGCTGGAAATCTGAAACAGGTCTGACAGCATCTGTGACCCTTCTTCAGAACTGGACCTGAAAGATTAACTCTGTTTTCTCTCTCCCTGCAGATGCTGCCAGACCTGCTGAGTATCTCCAGCAATTTCTGTTTTGGTACACTACTAATTATTGTTTATTACATAGTGTATGACTACAACCTATTAAACTTAATACAATAATTAAATTACAAATATAGATTTTTTAAAAAAGAACAATCTTTTTCCCTCATTGCACTCAGATTTGTGTTCTTTCAGACCAATGATCGTGAATCAATATCCACATATTCCACAACGCAGGCAGACTTTAGATCTCATCGGGCATATCTTCACAATAAACAAAATAAGGAAATCATACACGAGAAACATAAATAGCAAGCAGGACAGAACACCGATGCTTCACCAGAGACGCACTGATGATGTTGCCTAGTATTGTGACGAAACATCTGCAAACAAACTTACCAGCTTGGCAAGCAAGTTAACAAACGAAATCATATACTGCTGAGACTAAATTCTTTCACTGTAAAACCTGCATTAATGTGGTCAAATAAACAAAGGTTAAACAGGCAACCATAATGGACTTAAATTCACAAAAATCGAAATGCAGTAGGGGAAGTTCCTCTCAATGTTGCAGGCTGTTTTCAGTCCAAGATCAAGGTTCAATGATTGATCAAAATGCTCTTTGGATTCAGCAGTATCACTGGGGTCAGGAATCTGAACCTTTGATATAAAAAAAGGACCTCTTTCAAGATACTAATATGAACAATCTCAGTAATTGTATCATGCAATAACAATAACTTGCATTTTCAAATCACCTTTAACATAGAAAAATGTTTCCAGAGAAACTCAAAGTGATATAACAAAACCAAAATTGCCCAAGTCAATAAAGGAAATATTTGAAAAGATCACCAAAATTTTAAAAGTGGAAATTTTATTGGAAGCCTTTAAAGAAGAGGGAGGTAAAGAAGCATGGAGGTCAATGCAGTGAATTCCAGAATATGGACCTAGCTGACTGAAGGTACATCTACCAATGTGTGCCTCACAAAGTGGGGATGCTCAAAGGCTAAAGTTAAAGGAACGCTAATTTCTCAGAAGATTGTAGATCTGGAGAAGGTTGTGGAGGCTGTGAAGGGATCTAAACCTAAGAATAAGAGTGTTGGATGTGAGAGTGTGACCATATTATGGGCATTGACCAAGAAAGGCAAGACTAAGGACTTTTGAAGGAGAAAGGACATAAAAACATTTGAAAAAATAGAAATAGTTACATTCTAGGATGCATCTCTGCACTTTGTTAAATCATTGGTGGTGATGCTGTTACTGGTAGTGATGGAAAGACCATATGTTACCTTATTTTTGATTGCAAACTTAATTGTGAAAAAGGACTGTCTTATAACAAAGGACTGTGAAAGGAATTGCTGTACTTTTAAAAAGCAAGGTACTGGAACTCATTGGAAGTCATGTTTACACTGTTGCTTTGCAAGTGGTGAGGGAAGGTGTAAAGAGACAGCATGGCACTAGGGCATGTGTACAAAGTGAGGTTCATCCAGCACCCAGTGGTTGATTAGAAACAAAAAAACAGAAATTGCTGCCAAGTCTGGCAGCATCTATGGAGAGAAAGTAAAGTTAACCTCACTTCTGAAGAAGAGCCAGCAGACTCAAAATGTTAATTCTGCTTTCTTCCCACAGATGCTGCCAGACCTGCTGAGTTTCATCAGCTATATTTGTTTTTGTTTCAGATCCCCAGTATCCACAGTTCTTTGTTTTATATAAGCAGCTGATTGGTTTGGGCAATTGTGAGTTGTGGTTGCTAAAGGTTATCAGCCTAAAGACAAATCTCTGATTGGTTCCTTGGTGCTGAGTGGCTTCCAGTTGAGGAGGCAATGGCCTAATGATTTTATCACTAGCCTATTAATCCAGAGACTCAGGCAATACCTCAACCAATTGGGAGTTGAATTGCCAACTAATCACCAGCCTCTTTTTATACGGTACAAATTGTTGTTCTCATTGAGATTTGGTATCCTGATGAGTGCAAGATTAAGAAAAAAAAAATCTTCAACAGTGTGTTTTTGGCAACATTTAAATAAAAATGTCAAGGGTCATCTGATCAAAAGAGGATGCCAGTAGGACATTAAATGCATAGGACGTAACTGCAAAGTCTTGCAACAACATGGGTCAGATTGTATAAGTAGCAGAAAGTGTAATTTATGTATATTTTAATATAATTTATTTTTGTGTTTGGAGTTTTGAATTTTGAACCAGTGCAAATGAGTTTTCTGTGCATCTGAAGGGGTTTAATGATTAACTTGTAAGTACTTCTGTAGCTATAGTGTTTCTTTTAAATCAGTTTGGGACAGGGAAAGCTTCTAAGAACTAATTTGTTTTTGTTTACTTTAGGAAAATTACAAGTGAAACAAATACACAGTGTGGTACATTAGGTTTTCTAATGGAAGATTCTGGATTTTTATGTCCCAGTGGTCAACAGTGGAAGAATCCTCAAATTATGTTTAATTTCTTGGCTTTAGAATCCTTCTAAATAGCAACAGGTGACACCTGTCAGGTCAATTTTCTGCCATTTCTGGTATGAGATGAATAATTAATTTCCTGTTGGCTGAGGAAACCTTGATCGTTATATTTAATGCAGAATCAGCTGATTAATCCTAAAATAAAAGCAAAATACTTCAGGTGCTGGGCATCTGAAAGGCTTAATGCAAAGACTAATCCTCGCTGGAATGTTGGTTTTCTGCATTTGTTTCAAGTTATAGATTAAAGTTGCATCTATCCAAATAAATTTGCATGTTACTGTCCCAGAGCCAGAGCAAACACTGTCCTGCTGTTTGAACAAGGTGATGGAACTCCTTGTAAACGATGTAATCTTTTCCATAGTTTCTGAGCTGAACCATAACCTCTCTTATGCATAACTCTTAGGGATTCATTTAAATAGGAAGGTGAGTCTTTATACCTAATGGTGTTCCATTGGGATTAAATATCAGGCATGATGTACAATGACAGGGCAATGAGACACAGCCCAAAGTGACTTTCTACTCCACCGTATATATCAACACAGGAGAGCTACCAATAACATATTGCAAGTGTTTTTTTCTCCCTCCCTTCCTCCCTACTGTGGTTTTCTTACACCTGGCTCTGGCCTCCAAAGTAGAGACGCCAGCGGCCGGCTGCAGGAGCGGGGCCACTGTCCCGGTGGGGGAAGCAGGGAAGGTGGCCCAGTGCAGAGCATGATTGCAGCCAGCAGGCAGACCATAGAGGCTCCGTGTGCTAGTCTGCTGCGGAGGGCTCTTGGAGAGAGACGTTAATGTTTGTCTTTTTAACTTTGCTTTTTGATTTTCTGACTTACGGTTATACTGTGCATAACTGTAATGTAACTTTTTTTCTTCATTTTTCTATTCCGTAACTAAGGATTG